AGTCAGAAAATCAAAAGGGCCAAACTCGCTCAGCATTTCTTAAGCTCAAGGAACTGAAGAACAAATTCAAACCTCGAGTTGCTATAATTAAGGATGCTTTCAGCAGAATAGAAAATGATCCAGGAAGTATTAAAAGAAAGTGGAAAGAATATACTGAGTTACTCTATCGAAAGGAATTGGCAGACACAGAAGTATTTCATGAAGCAACATATGAGCAAGAGCCTATGGGTGATGAAGGAAGAAGTTCAGGCTGCTTTGAAGGAAATGGCAAAAAATAAGGCCCAGGAATAGATGGTATACCAATTGACATATTTCAGCTAACAGATGCTGCCCTGGACGTAATCACCAAGTTGTGCCAGGAAATCTGGAGAACAACTACTTGGCCAACTGACTGGAACAGATCTATATTCCCATTCCAAAGAAGGGTGACCCAACAGAGTGTAGAAATTATAAAACAATCTCATTGATTTCACATGCAAGCAACATTCTACCAAAGATTATACAAAAATGATATCCACTGGAACAGCACATTAGCAGAGATATGTCATTACCGGAGATTTTTTCCCCAGTCTGTGGCTTCCCTTTTAACCCTGTTGGAGAAGTTTTTGGATGTGCATGCATAATGTTAATTTATGTTGTTATTAAGTGCTGTCATAGACAACTCATAGCAACCTTATGAACAAAAGACCTAAACACCTGTATAACTCGTTTCTCCACATTCATACTGTTTTTGGAGGCAAGCCATTTTGGAAGTGAATGCCCCTCCTGCTACCAAGCTCATTTTAATCGGGGAGCTCCACCAAACATTGTCCACCATGGGTAACCATTATCACATTTGACATGTCAGTGTCACAGTGCATATATATTCTTGCATGTTTATAACTGTTCTTATTAGTATAGCATTTTTCTGTCCTCAGTTTTCTGTATTGATGTAACCTGTGGGTGCTGTAATGCTGGAAGCTGTGCTACTGGTGTTTTCAAATGCCGGTAGAATCAGCCACAGTGGACAGCTTTCAGGAGAGTGTTCAGATTAAGACAGATGAGGAAGCAGGATTGGCCATCCACTTTTCCACTAGCAAGCCTCTTAAAACCTTATGAACCACCATCCAGCTAGGAAAAAGCAGAACAAATAAAAACGCCCACGAATGAGTTGCTTGTTCATGTGGTTGATCAATACAATAATTGTTTAGATTATTTTATTATAATTACTTAAAAATTTAAGACTACAAATGAATGGCTAGAGAAGCTGTGGTATATTCGCACAATGGAATACTATGCTGCATTAAAAAACAAGGAACTCATGCAATATTATTCAAAATG